GGGGGGGTGTATTTCTCTCTAAGTGAAGGAACTTATAACAAGGAAGAGGAACAGTTTTCCAGGCCCCATGCATAAAGAAATTCTAAAACTTCCAGGAATTCTCAAGATTTTCTTAACTTCTACCCATGCTATACGTTTGTTAGCAAATTATTAGGTACTATACCTTTATATACTCATGACCACAATATTGGATCTGCAGAAAGACTTTTCTATTTCCTTTTTTAAATGGATTTGATCCCAATCTCTTACAAAAGGAAAGCTATGAAGAACGTAAACATCACTTTCCAACATAACCCGAGATGAATGAGTCGGGACCTCAGATTAAGTATACAGGGTGTATCAAAAAAAGTAAGACAATTTTGAAATTACTCTCAATTCCACAATTCTGTTCATGAAATGTAATTTTTGCTATATATGGATTGCTTGAGTTCTTAAATTGTGGAAAATATAAAAAAAATTGAAAATAGTAAATTTTGCTATCCAGGGGGGTGGTCAACTTTTGCTCCCCTAAAAGTGGCTTGCGCACGGAAATAACAAACGGTATTCTTTATTTGAGTTCATTTATGAAAAGTTCGCTATTTGTTGCATTTATGATAAAATTTCGGCAGGATTTTACCGAGTACAAATCCACCGAAAAGCCTATGAAAACGTTACATTTTTCTCCGTTGGTGCTGTTCTTGCTTCATTATGAATTCATTTTTACTCCCATGAGAGTTCCATGTAATTTGTGCTTTTGAGTTGTTTGTGCTGAAACGCATTTTCTCGTATAATACCCCGTACAATTTGAAATGGCGATGCCACAATTTACCTCGCAGCAGAGAGCTTTTATGGTATCAGAGTTCCTCCGTAGCAACAACATAAATTTGGTTCGCCAAAGTTTCACGAACGAATATCCAGATGTACGATGCCCTTCACATGCGAATACGTGAAGGGCATCGTGCCGAAAAATCCTGCCGAAATTTTATCGTAAATGCAACAAATAGCCAACTTTTCATACATGACCTCAAATAAAGAATACCGTTTGTCATTTCCGTGCGCAAGCCACTTTTAGGAGAGCAAAAGCTGACCACCCCCCTGCATAGCAAAATTTACTATTTTCAAATTTTTTTATATTTATATATATATATATAGCAACATATATATATATATATATATATATATATATATATATATATATATATATATATATATATATATATATATATATATATATATATATATATATATATATATATATTTATATACACACTGTAAGAAATGTTTTCTGAAAAACTGTTCGCTCAGATCCTATAGTAGAGGGCCCCCTATACTTTTTGCGTGAAGCGTGAAGGGCTTATTTTACTTAGCCGTGAAACGTGATCGATGATTTTCTTAATCCGTGACTCGTGAAAAGGCAAAATATTTTTACGTGAAAGCATATTGTGAAGAGGTATAGGGGGCCCTCTAAGATATGATTTGATATTTCACTATAGTGAAATACGGGAAATATCAGTAATATATATATATATATATATATATATATATATATATATATATATATATATATATATATATATATATATATATATATATATATATATATATAATATATATATATATATAATATATATATATATATATATATATATAATATCAAATATTTATTATTATTCCATACATATCAAAAATTACATTTCATGAACAGAATTGTGGAAATGAGAGCAATTTCAAAATTGTCTTACTTTTTTTGATACACCCTATATATATATATATATATATATATATATATATATATATATATATATATATATATATATATATATATATATATATATATATATATATATATATATATATATATATATATATATATATATATATATGCTGGAGATTACCCAGTATAATAAAGACAGCTATAGAGTAAGTAGCCATGTTAGTAAAACAAGTTTCCTTCGTTAGGTGAATCAGGTTGTATGTATATGTATGATGCTTTGCAAGTATCATACGTGGAAGTTTGGACTTTCTTGTATACTGTCATTGATATACAACCTTAATTACGGAAAAAAATGTTTCTGTGATTTTAGGCAGCAAGACACCTAGAGATTGTCGTTCAGGCTCGTTCACAAACACATCACGATCATCCATTTGCCAGGAATGTCCAGAAAGATATTACTGTATTCCTAACAATGTCACCGCTGGTGATCCACAGTCAGGCTATCATGCTTGTCCGAGAGGTTATTACTGTCCTCCAGGTAAGTTTCAAAAATCAAAATGTGGGATGCATGTACTACATGCATCATAGTCATAGTGACTACGCCAGCTTGTACCGTAATTCTTTTTTAGTTCAATACCACATTTGGATCCTACGAATTATATATGAAAAAAAACCTGTTTGCAATATAGGTTATTATGAGACAATCAACCACATAAGAGTCAATCTTTATTGTTCTTACTATTGAAAAGGATAGCAATCTTTTCTTGCAATTTGGAAAACAAGCATTTGTACTCTTCATAGCTTCCATATAGCAATGTCTCGTCTTGCCGACTCGAGCCTTGGAAACCCTTCAAACCATACTAATAGATATTATATTCTCGTCTTGTTCTTTTCTAGGAACTGGTCTTGACTGGAAATCATGTCCTAAGGGATCATATAGCAATTCTACTGGTCTAAGCGTGGAGTCTGAATGCGAACCCTGTGATGGTGGTTTTTACTGTGATAAGCTCAACGCCACTAAACCAACGGCCCATTGTCATGGTGGTTATTATTGTGAATCTGGTGTTGATAGACCTGATCCCATACACAGCGGGAATGCAACTAACTTTTCCAATAATTGTAGCATTTACGGATATCATACTGGTAAGTCGTCACTTGCTTCAAAGCTAGTCATGTAGAAACCTGATTTCCTAGAAAAGAATGAGTGTTTCCTATTCCAACGTATTACTAATAAATTATATTGTAATTGCCGTGTGGATCAAGACTTTAGTATCCGGAACTTTTCAAAAAGACCAGCTGGCAAAGATCAACTATATAGGAATTAATTCTACCGCAGTAAAAAGCATAAACATATATATACACCAGATTTTAATTAAGTTTGAAATGGCACTGTACTAGGACAATCCTTTTCAATACATACCGAAATGAAATTATTATCACATACACCTTTCGCCATTGCGCATACATGCATAGTGAAATAATGCAGTGTCCAAACTAAATATAGGACATTTTGCAAAATTTTATTTATTGGTTTCCGTTTCTCATTCTCTTTTGAGCTCTGCATGTTTAGCGTTTTATACCTCATATTGAAGTACATTGAAATTCGTCTTGTTAGCATGATATTAAAGTTAAACCTTTTTATTTCAAGAACTCATCCTTCAAATTAAGAAATATTTAGCAGTAGTTTCTTTATCTGAAAATATATCAGTTCTGAAATTATTCAATTATATGGCATATAGGCACATTAGAGCGTGGGATACCCTAGTTCTACAAAAAGCGTTATTTCCTTACAGGTGAACCATGCTGTAAAATATATCGCATTTTTTTAGGTTTTGGTGGTATTTGTCCAGTAGGATATTACTGTCCACATGGTTCTGTCACACCAGTTGGATGTCCTGATGGATCATATCAAGACCAGCCTGGCAAGACA